AAGAAACAAAATCCATAAACTTTTGCGGTCGACTGCGACGAAAGCAGAAACTTCTGCGGTTGACCGCCGCGGTCGACCGCCATTGATCCAAGCGCATAGTAAGCTATGTGCACGAATGTGCTCGACCGCCGCGGTTGACCGCCACACTGTCTGCCTGAAACCTGAGCCTGAAGGCCAATTCTACACTTAGATGTAGTGGGATTTCAATAAACATGCATCCAAGGAGATGTTGATACAGTTTCCACGTTCAATAAACAATCTCAAGATAACAAGCATTGTATCTTGACTTCCACAGGTAGCTCCCATGCCCAAGAACATCCAAGTAGATGTCACATCGTGCACAGTTTGTGCCAGCCAATAAAAGATAGGCTGCAACCGCTACCATTTTCCAAAATTAAGGAGATGACCATTTCTAATTAATAGGTACAAAGGCAAATTAACCAAATAAAACTTCACAAAACAAGCTCAAAGCTCCATGATATAAGTCATATAAGTGGCACATGTATGAAAGTAGATTGAGTATAATTTACAGTCCTTATACGATCTCTTGTGAAAATCTCACAAATATAGCAGAGACACATGCACATATGATGAAGTTGGCTACTATACCACACATGTTAAATTATGTTCATATGTTATTATGATCTATGAGGCTTTTTATGGAATCTATCATCATATTTTTTCAGTTAAATAATGATATGTGGAGGGTAGAAAGAACTCAACGGCATTTCAAGAGAATATATTCAATGCCTAATATTGCTTACAGAATACAGAGAATGAACATATGAAAGAAATGTTGGTATTTAACACAAAGGAAAGTCCACACAAACTTTTAAATGCGTATGCTTGATGTGTTACCTAAAATCATATGTGAAAACTGAAAGACACCAAAAGATTAGTAGGAGGATGAACACATCTGTAGTATAAATTAACAAGTTATATCAAAATTGATAATTTATTCACAACTAGGCTACCTGCTTGTTTTCACTTAATATATATGCAACTTTCACAAATCAATATAATCTGATGTGCAGTGAAGATTTCCCATGTAATTTTATCTTCTATCATGCATACCAAAAAGATAAAGAGGTATAATGTTTTCTTACTAGATTTGACCTCCATGAATTGACATTCTTTGTTCATCTCGTTTCAGAAACTCTTTTGCTTCAACACTGGCAAGAAAGTTCAAACATAAGCTCACCTTGTTTCTGGAACAGCCTTTTTGTGTTTCTCAATCTTTTATTCCTTGGAAGCTATTCAGTTATTTTCTTGCTGAAGATATGCAAAATATCATGTAAAAGGAGACATAAGTCCTCTGATGAAGTGAGAAAACAATCCTTGACAACAAAATACATAAATGGTGATGTACGCTCGGGGATCTCATACCAAGTCAGCAAATGGTGTTGCTCGATTCTACTAGCAACCCACTTAGCTGAACTTATACTCTTGCTTTTACATAACCACACAAGCCATTGCAGTTACATGCTTCTTGTTGTGGCTGAAATAACTCAAGTGGTATCATGTATAGTCATGATCGCTACTGTTGTCAGTTTCCAGAAAGCAACATTAGTAAAACTCCCCCGCATTATAAGACTATGGTGGATAAGTAGCTTCTTTCAATCAGTAATCTGCATAACCTTTAGAATACACTCAGCAATTCAACACGATGAATTGATAGGAGTGGATGAATGCATAGATCTCCTCGGCCTCCTCACATGTGCAAGCCTATTTTTGGTCTCTATTAGAGGAAAGACAGGTATCAGCTTCACCAAGAGTAGTGATACTGTCACAGAACCTCTACTGCAGCCTTCAACTGAGAAACCATCAGAAAGAGAAAGGAAATCACCATATGGAAAAGCGAGCCTCCCACAACTTGTCACCTTCGCTTGGCTTAACCCACTTTTTGTTCTCGGAAAACAAAAACCTCTCAATCAAACTGAGATCCCAGATGTCGATATCAAGGACTGTGCTCAGTTTACATCACACTCATTTGACAACTACCTTACAAGTGTGAAGGAAAAGTACGGCTTGCAAAACTCATCTATATACAGAACAATCTTCATATTTATCAGGAAAAAGGCAGCAATCAATGCATGTTTTGCAGTAGTAACCGCAAGTGCTTCCTATGTCGGGCCATCACTAATCAACAGTTTTGTAAAGTTTCTAGCTGGAAGCCGGGATAGTGGACTGAAAACTGGATACTTTCTCGCATTAGCATTTCTAAGTGCTAAATTTGTGGAGACATTGACTCAGAGGCAGTGGATTTTTGGAGCTAGGCAACTAGGTCTTCGCTTAAGAGCAGCTCTGATATCCCATATATACAGAAAGGGCATTCGCTTATCAAACCATTCTCGTCAGACCCATACTAGCGGAGAACTTATCAACTACATGAGTGTAGATATTCAGAGAATCACAGATGTTATGTGGTATGCGAACATAGTTTGGATGTTGCCCGTTCAAGTTTCCCTCGCGATATATGTTCTTCATAAGAATCTCGGCCTTGGGGCTTTTGCTGGATTAGCAGCTACATTCTTGATCATGTCATGCAATATTCCTCTAACAAGAATCCAAAAAAGATTTCAGTCCAAGATCATGGAAGCAAAAGATGGTCGCATGAAAGCAACATCAGAGGTTCTCAAAAGCATGAAGATATTGAAACTTCAAGCATGGGACACCCAGTACCTGCACAAATTGGAAGCTTTGCGGCACATTGAGTATGGCTGGTTGTGGAAATCGCTTAGATTACGAGCACTTTCAGCTTTCATTTTCTGGGGAGCTCCCACTTTTATATCAGTTGTGACTTTCGGTGCATGCATATTGATGGGAATCCCTCTAACAGCAGGTAGAGTTTTATCTGCATTGGCTACTTTTCGAATGCTTCAAGACCCAATCTTCAGCCTTCCTGATTTGCTTTCAGCGCTTGCACAGGCAAAAGTTTCAGCTGACAGGATAGCATTGTACTTACAGGAGGAAGAAATAAAATCTGATGCAGTTGAAGTAATTCCTAGAAATGAAACAGAGTTTGATATTGAGATTGATAGGGGCATTTTCAGTTGGGATGCAGATATGAAATCTCCAACACTTTCAGATGTACAGTTTACTGTGAAAAGGGGAATGAATGTCGCTATTTGTGGGAGTGTCGGTTCAGGAAAATCTAGCCTGTTATCTTCGGTGCTCGGAGAAATCCCAAAGCTGGGAGGTAGAGTAAAAGTCAGTGGCAGCAAAGCATATGTTCCTCAAACCCCATGGATACTAACGGGGAATATTCAAGAAGTAAAAGTCAGTGGCAGCAAAGCATATGTTCCTCAAACCCCATGGATACTAACGGGGAATATTCAAGAAAATATTCTGTTTGGAAATCCATACGATAGCGAAAAGTATGAGAAAACAGTTCAAGGGTGTGCTTTGGTCAAGGATTTTGAGCTTTTTGCCAGTGGAGACCTAACTGAGATTGGAGAAAGGGGAATTAATATGAGTGGCGGGCAGAAGCAACGGATTCAGATAGCTAGAGCAGTGTACCAGGATGCTGATATATACCTTCTTGATGACCCCTTCAGTGCTGTGGATGCTCATACTGGCAGCCAACTTTTCAAGGTAATCTTACTACTTCTTGATGACCCCTTCAGTGCTGTGGATGCTCATACTGGCAGCCAACTTTTCAAGGTAATCTTACTAGGACTTTGTTACTAATTTCATGGCTATAAACAGCAATGTATGTAAGCAGTGTTCTTGTCATCTATTGGAAAATATCTATCAGCTAATGTTATTGACCTTACCGATATGCTTACATGATCGAAAAGAGCAAGCCTCTTTGTGTATGCTGGTTTTGTGTGTGCATGCGTTTTCTGATATAAGTAATAAGGTATTATCCCACTAAATGAAAAGGCCAATTCTTCTTATGCAGGATTGCCTAATGGGGATTCTTAAAGACAAGACTATACTTTATGTCACTCACCAAGTTGAGTTTCTTCCAGCAGCAGACCTTATCCTGGTAAATGAAAATGTTCCATTTGTTATCATTTCATATATCAAAAACTTAACATTAAAACTGTGATTCTTCCTTTATGAATAAAATGAAATTAAGTAAACTATAATGATGCTTTCATATTATAGGCTATAGCATTATGATAGACACACAAGATTCAATTGTATCATCAATATCGAAATTCATGGTGCATGCTGAATATCAATTGACAGTAGACTGTGATGGTATCAACAGGTGATGCAGAATGGAAGGATAGCACAGGCTGGAAAGTTTGATGAGCTTCTAACCCAAAACATAGGATTTGAGGTGTTAGTCGGAGCTCACAGTCAAGCTCTTGAATCAATCTTTAATGCAGAAAATTCCAGTAGAGCATCACAAGCAGATGATAGAAGGCCAACAAAATCATCGAGCAATTTTAATGCAGAAAATTCCAGTAGAGCATCACAAGCAGATGATAGAAGGCCAACAAAATCATCGAGCAATAATGAACCAAATGATGAAGAAAATACAGAAAATACGCAATTCCAAAGCATCGAAAAGCAAGAATCTCAGCAAAGTCTCCCTGAAGATATTGCTGACAGGGGAAGGTTGACACAAGATGAGGAGCGAGAAAAAGGAAGCATTGGCAAAGAAGTTTATTGGACATACCTCACTGCAATTCGACGTGGTGCTTTAGTCCCAGTTATAATCACAGCGCACTCCCTCTTCCAAATGTTGCAAGTAGGAAGCAACTATTGGATGGCGTGGGCTTCTCCTACAACGTCTGCATCAGAACCAACAGTAGGAATGAGTTTGCTTTTCTTAGTATATATTCTTCTTTCAGTAGGAAGTGCACTATGTGTTTTGGTCCGAGCAATGTTACTAGCAATAGCCGGCCTTCTACTTCTTTCAGTAGGAAGTGCACTATGTGTTTTGGTCCGAGCAATGTTACTAGCAATAGCCGGCCTTCTAACATCACAGAAGTTTTTCAATGACATGCTACATTGCATCATGCGTGCACCAATGTCCTTCTTTGACTCGACACCAACAGGACGAATCTTAAACAGGGTTTGTACTTCGTACTTCAATCAAATAATATGCAACATACTTTAGTGCTTAAAATACTGTCTAGAGTCTGTAAGGCTAACCATATATTTAACATCTGATCAGGCTTCGACTGACCAGAGCGTGCTAGACTTGGAGATAGCAGGAAGATTAGGTTGGTCTGCATTTTCAACAATACACACTCTGGGGACCATTGGGGTTATGTCACAGGTTGCATGGCCAGTTTTTGCTCTCTTTGTACCTGTCACAGCAATCTGCATATGGTATCAAGTAAGAGTTACCTTTCAACTTTGCACCCTCTAGCATCTTTAAACACAAATCTAAGTTCTTATGACAAAACACGAAGTTGTGTGCTAAGTAAAAGCTTTCCACTAATTTAAAATTCTTCCCAAAATCCATGTTCCTGACCATTTCAACAAGCTGACGAGCTTCAGGGGAAAAAAAGATCCTAAGGTACCGTTTGGCAAAAAGTTAAGTGAGGGGTTATGGAGACTTAACCCCTTTTTAACCCGCCAAACACAAAAAATCTATACAATGCTTAAAGTGTGTTAACCCTTCATAATTTGTCAAACATAAAAAATATAGAAGAGTTAAGCTAACCCCTCTAGAGGGATTAAAATGAGTTAACCCCTCAAAATGAAGGGTTTACTAATACTCCTATTTAGAAGGATTAAGAGTTAACCCTTCTAATTATAAAGAAAATAGTTAAAATCATTGTTATTCCTAAACACTAAAACTGATCACAATGGCTAAAATAAAACTTATTTAACGGGTTAATAATTTAGTCATTCAGATTATCGAATGGGCTAAAGTACATTAATCCTTCTCTTTAACCCCTCTTACTTAACCCTTTGCCAAACGGGGCCTAAAAGAATTGGTGGGCATTAAGACTTTTCCTACATAGTATGTTTAGAATTATAAAAAGCATATATGTTTTATATTTTGCGGTCCTAAACATGAAAATTATAAATAAATGTGAAGTCTTGTTCCGACTATTTCTGTTGAGCATAGACCAAGCATGGCGACCATAAAATGGCCAAAAAACTCTAATCCTAACTAATTGATAACATCAATTAACACATCCTAATAAAATAACAAATTCAACCGTAACTAAACAACAAACTTAATCCTAGCTAAAGATCTCAACTAAAAGGAAAAAAAATCATAACTAAAATCCAATCTTTAATTTGTCCTGCATCAAATTTCCAGAGGTAGAAGAAACACAACCTCTAGTTTAAAATTGGACATCATCAATGGACTTTGCATGCTGCATTCCCAACATCAAAGCCACAATGGTGGATCTCCTTGGTTATGAGACTAAATGATGGGGAACAAAAGGTAGCGATCTGTAGAGGAGACTTATTTGGATAGAGCAAAATAAAAGGCACAAATATCGAAATTGTATTTTTCATTTAATAAAAAATACAAATATTGGGCTTCACACGCTGGCACTTCACAAGTGAAGCAAGCCACATGCATAATGCTGACATGCATAATGCTAACTGCAATTCACATACTGATTTCTCACAAACATTCTTTTCTCCTCCTAAAATTAAGAAGTATAACCCTTTTTGACTAATTGATAACATCAAATAACACAACCTGATAAAATAACAAATTCAAACCTGACAAATCAACAAGCTCAATCCTAACTAAAATTTCAACTAAAAGAAAAATATAGAATCATAACCAAAATTTAATCTTCAATTTATCCTGCATCAGTCTATCAATTTCAATACGATGAATGATTGATTGTTAGTAATAACTAAAAAACCGGTCAAAATCATCTGCTAAAATACAAGTTTCGTATAGTACATTTTTGTCTATTAATTCTGAAATCTGAATCCTGTTAAGTTCTAATAATTTTCTCCATCTTTCCACTATAAGATATTGTCTCTCCAGCCCACCAATAATGCATGCAGTGCCTAGTAGATACATTGATTAACTCACTAGGATACCAAAGATTCGAGAAGTGTCATAATTCACATTGCAAATTAGTTTTCTTTCTACATAAATGAGTCCTCACACTCTATCCTTAAATTTGACAATGTTCGCTGCAGCAATACTACATACCAACTGCTAGAGAACTTGCTCGCTTATCAGGAATTCAAAGGGCTCCGATCCTTCATCATTTTGCAGAATCTCTTTCTGGAGCTGCAACTATCAGAGCCTTTGGACAGGAAGGACGCTTCACTAAAGCAAACCTCATTCTTATTGACAATCATTCAAGGCCGTGGTTCCACAATATTTCAGCGATGGAATGGCTTTCTTTCAGGCTTAACGTGTTATCAAATTTTGTGTTTGCATTCTCATTGATTTTGCTTGTAAGCCTTCCTGAAGGATTTATCAATCCAAGTAAGACTTCAGTTGTAACCTCTCTTAAAGCCAAATTAAGCTTCTCTAACCTCCATTTCTCATAATAACACTCAAAGGATCTTACTGTATACTCCATGATTACAGGCATTGCAGGATTGGCTGTAACATATGGATTAAGTCTCAATTCACAGCTAGGCTCAATCATTTGGAATATTTGTAATGCAGAAAATAAAATGATCTCTGTTGAGAGAATACAACAATACTCAAGAATCAAAAGTGAAGCCCCTTTATTGATTGAAGAATGCAGGCTCCCAAATGAGTGGCCAGAAACTGGAACAATATGCTTTGAGAATTTGCAGGTATAGAAACAAATTTTACAGGCTCTTAGTAGATGTAGCACCCCCTTAAAACAAGTTACCTGCAGCCTCATAGGATTTAGATATAATATGTTATCCCAATTACCATCATGATCTATGTTACCTAGGTACTTTTATTTGAGTACCGTACCTGTACGCAACATGTACCCATACCCGTACCCAAACTCCGTGGACGTTCCTTGCATTTATGCATACATTTATTTGCGCATCTACCAATTACACAATACATAATTTAATTTAAAACACTTGTTATACATTTTCTGAACATATATCCTACACTTAACACATCCCCTTCTTGAAACTCGTTGGACATAAGTCAGGTTCCGAACTATGATTTTAAAGGGATCGTTAGGATGTCTAGTTCAAAACTAGGAATTTTTTCAATTTATAATCCACATAATAAAAGAAACATAGAAATGTTATAGGGATTTTACTTCTCATAACACATGAATGAAAACAATAGTGATCTAATATAGATTATTAATTCTAATAAATAATATGTATATGCGTATTAATATTTATATAGTTGTCTCCCCGTATCCTACCTTTTACAAATTCTCCATGTCTCGTACCCGTATCCATACCACTACCCATTCCCATATGTTTGTTGGAAATTTGCAGTAAAAAGACAATGAAAGAAAAATTGACTTGTATTCCCTCAAAATCAATTCTGATCGAGTTGATAACTCTGACGAGTTTTAGAAGAACTTGCAGAGCAAGTTTTGAACTCTGATCGAGTTGATAACTCTGAACGAGTTTGAACTCTTGAAAAAGAGTTGATTTGAACCGAAAGTTCGGTTAATAAGCCAAGGAAGAAGCTCCTGTTGCTGGTCTCCAAAACTCCTTGTTGCTGCAGAACGCGGCAAGATGCTCGATCAAGGATCCCCAAAAAGTCAGCTCCCCCCCTCCAAAAAAAAGGATCCGAACTCAGTTGAGTTTTGAGGTATTTATAGGGGGTTAAGGGTATAACCGCCCCCTTAAATATCTCCTTAATGAGGGTTTAATGGGGTCTAACTGCTCCCCATAAATCTCTCCATGATAGGGTAGTGATCCCCTAAAATCTTGGGGAGAAAACGGTTCTGGAACCGTTCAAATCGTGCTTGAACGAGTTAAACGCTGAAAACAGCGTTCTGGGCTCGAACTGTGCGTTTCTGGACCTGAAACGCACAGTTGAGGTTGAAAAACGCACAGCTGGGGCTGAAAACGCACAGCTGGAGCTGAAAAACGCACAGCTGGGCTGAAAACGCACAGTTGAGGCTGAAAACGCACAGCTGGGCCCGTAAACGCACAGTTGGCCTGTTTCAGGCTAAAAACGCACAGTTGAGCCCATAAACGCACAGTTGGCCTGAAAACGCACAGTTGACCTGTTTAAAGGCTGAAAACGCACAGTTTGTGCTGTTTTAGAGATGAACTCTGCGTTTTAGGCTGAAAACGCAGAGTTGTGCCTGTTTAAAGGCTGAAAACGCACAGTTGTGCTGTTTTAGAGATTAACTCTGTATTTTGATGTTGAAAACGCAGAGTTGAGCCTGTTAACGGCTGAAAACACACAGTTGTGCTATTTTAGCGATTAACTCTGCGTTTTGATGTTGAAAACGCAGAGTTGAGCATGTGCGCTTTGACTCTGTAATGCAGAGGCGAACCTTAGGCGGGCTTCGCGGGCTTCAGGCTAAGTCCAATGTTCTGACGAAGTCCAGTCTTGCAGACGGACTTCAGAACATAACTTGCTACGAAGAACAGGTCATAACTTTCAAACCGTACGTCGGAATTGGACGAATTACATATGAAAATCGGCTATCTCGACGAGACGGGGCCATCCGAACCCAGCCGAAGGCTTCGGTTCGCTTCCTCCGTTTTGCCAAATTCCTTACGGTTTGAGAGATATCTGCATTCTAATATGAAGAGACCGTCTTGGCTCCTTGAGAATATGAGAGTCGTCAGATTGTAACTCCCGATGTTGATTGTGAAAGCTGTTGAATTGGGGCCTTCATTAGTTGTTGTGAAGGTCGTCAGATTGTAGCCTTCTGGAAGTCGTCAGATTGTAACTTCCATCATCGGTGTTTGATGGGGGATCAACTATCTATTGTGATTTTTAGACAGCCTACACCATACAACATAGATCATGATAGACTTATCTATTATATAACATGTACATGCCCCAGAGATTAAATATAGTTCAACTGGTTTGACAAACAGATTCATGTAGCAAGTTGATTAGATCTCTTATTGAGGTATATAATATAAAACTAGCTGCAGGGTGTAAACTTAAAAATATATGAAATTAAAAAATTTATATATTTGAAATACTTTTCTGTCTTACAGGTTCGATACGCTGAACACCTCCCATCGGTCTTAAAGAACATCACATGTACGATACCTGGAAAGAAAAAGGTTGGCGTTGTAGGGCGCACTGGTAGTGGGAAATCAACTCTGATACAGGCTCTTTTCCGAATAGTTGAACCAAGAGAAGGTACAATTGTAATTGATGATGTGGATATCTGTAAAATTGGACTTCATGACTTGCGATCTAGGCTCAGCATCATCCCACAAGATCCGACAATGTTTGATGGTACAGTGAGAGGAAACCTTGACCCTCTGAAGCAATACACCGACAACAGAATATGGGAGGTAAATTGGTAACTATTTATGGTTTTGTTATCATATATAGGCATACAGACTTGAATCTTATTATTACTAAGTTTGCAACTTAAAGGTAAAAAAGAACTCAGATCTATGTACTAGTTATGGTACTTACATAGTGACACTAAAGAATATTTACTAGAGCAAAGAAAAATAGGGTATGTGACAGAGTTCTTAGGATGTGAAAGGAAAATAATGATATCACACATACTCCTGATAGGTATACCTAATTATAGCCAAAATACATATCAACTTATCAAGAAATTCATATCTGGTACATTGACCAAACAGAGAATATGAGGACGAGTTCTCTGTTTTTGACAGGAACGATTAGTTCAGGCGCAAGGATTATCTGGTGAAACCCTAGAAAACAAGCTGCCCTTGCAGCTAAATGAACACAAATACTGTTCCTCAAAGCGCTTCCTGAATGTACCAAATATAATTCTCTGTTATGATACACTCTATTATGTTTGTGTATTTAGTTATCTTTTCAGAGAAAGAGAGAGGGAGGGGATATTTGTGCTTATTTATATTGAAATATCCCAATAAACTCTCTCTGATGATCTAGGTTCTCAATAAGTGTCAGCTTGGGGAATTAATACGGCAGAATGAGAAGAAATTGGATTCAACAGGTGATAATAACACAAACATCAACAATATCTAAATCTATTTTTAATCATAGCATATAATAATATAACCATCTCCTGATATTGCAGTTGTTGAAAATGGAGAAAACTGGAGCGTCGGGCAGAGACAACTATTTTGTCTTGGAAGAGCCCTACTGAAAAGGAGCAGCATTCTTGTGCTAGACGAGGCAACGGCCTCTATTGATTCCGCTACTGATGGAATTATACAAGAAACAATCCGTCAGGAGTTTGCTGATTGCACAGTAGTCACCATAGCTCATAGAATTCACACAGTTATAGACAGTGATCTCATATTGGTTCTTAGTGATGGTATGAACTTTACAACATTATGAGATAAACAACAATATGAAATTACGTTTAAAATCTAACCGTTTGTGCTTATTTGCTGGAGCAGGAAGGATTATTGAATACGATACACCAGCCAAACTTCTGGAGAAGGAAGAGTCAGCATTTTCCAAGCTTATAAAAGAGTATTCATTGAGAACACAGAATAGCGTAATAGATACAAAAGATTCTGGATATAAACACTGATTTTTTTTCCAAGGGGTATGCCCATAAGTAATTTCTCAGCTTTGATGAAGTGAAACACTGTGAAAGATATCATAACTCGGAGGTATCATGTTCATTATAAAATAACCAGGCAGCCAATTTCCTGGAAAAGAAATGACTTAAGCAACTGTTGTAGTATTACAGCTAATGTAGGCAGAACTTTGATTCTAAGTGAAGCCAAATATATCCAGTTTTGAAATTTAGTTCTCACTGTCATTTACAATTATGCTTGGTATACAACCACTTCCTCTGTATTCTGAGGTACAAACACCAGTACGTATATATGGGAGACCCAACAGCTGATCGCAGATTCATGATGTTGGCAATTACGGATATGGATATCTAATTGCTTTTAATTTATTTGTTGTAATTGAGATGATTTTCAAATAACATTGCTTGCTTGGATTTATTTAATTGGTCTACGGCTAGGATATGATACTTATCATATCCGTAACCGTTTACCAATCATTGATAAGAATATGAATACAAATATGTCTTTCTAAGAAAAACTCATATCCGTATCCGCTAAAATCAGATATGAATATGGATATAGATATACATGCGGATGCAAAACGGATGTTTCATATGGAAAAAGAGAGTTCATTAATATAATGTTTGTTATATCTAAAAAGCTAAAGATTAGATCTCTTAGTCATCAAAATTAACCTCAACTGCATTAGTCTAAAGATAAAAACAATTGCAATTATATGGTTAACATATTCGGATAATTCAGATAAGGATACAGATACAAGGGTCTAACTACAGTATTTCCATGTGTTGCATCTTATCTCTCTTAATGGGTTTTCATTTGATCTATCCTTGAGGAAAAGTATGCCAATCATTCGAAAAAAATTAGATAGATGGTTCATAATTCACAAAGGGAAAAGAGTTTATTTTAAAAAAAAATAAGCTAGTAATGAGAAAAGAAAAAGAAAATTAGAATTCGGGTTGTGATTGGTTTTCCATGAAACTCTGAAGTTACGTGACCTCTTCTCTCTCATATCTCCATCTCCACACCTCACCCCAAATCCCAAAATAGTTTTCAGTTAAATAATCACATACTCCTAGAACTTTTTTAAAGTAATATTCTTGAACTGTAAGAAATCTATGGGTGAGATTTATTTTACCTTTTCACCGTGCCGTTAATTTTCTCTGGTCTTTGGCGGGGCTAGTATTTTTTTAAAAGGCAATTAAACAAACACCTTGAGTGCTGTTTAAAAATTTGGGGAAGTTGAGAATACGATAACGACCAAAGGAGAAACATTAGTAGTTTGAACGGGAGTTCTCGGACTGGCGGTCGTCGTGATGTCAGGTCCAGCCCATCTCTGATCTTATCCTTCGATTACTTTTGTTATTTTTTCTATTTTATCAATTACATAAGGCTTATTTGCACTTTCATACCTCCAAAGATTTACTTTTCGTAGCTTTGCTAAGCTGAAGTTTTATTTTGATGGTTCACATACTTTTCAGAGCATCCTCATTATTAACCGACTAGCTAGTGAAGAACATTTTAGCAAAATATCCAATATCATATTATGACTTATTTTCAATTTGATACTCAGAACGTTACTATTTTTCCATTTTAGACAGCAATACTACCAAAGTATTTTTAACATTTTGATACGCCAAAATTTATCTTTTTCACCCATGCACCTAGATTTTGTTAGAATTTCAGCAAAGTTTGTATTACATTCTGGTCATCTAAACATTTAAATATTTCTAATAATAGTGAATAGGAGCATCACATGCCAAGAACATGATATAATTATATAGAATATCTAATGAAATGTAGACGGGGTTGTCAGAGTGCTGGATATTGAATTTTTAAGAAAGTGTTAAAAATATAGGTAACTTTTAGTATACTTAAGTGGTTTTCTAGTATTGATTATAATAGATTAAAGTGGATTTCTAGTCAGAATATGTTTTTTCTCATTTTCCTAGTAGTGTTTTTAGTGCATCCTCGTTATCTTGATTATTAGCCGACTATGGTAGTGAAAGAATAAACATCTTTGCAAAATAATCCCAAAAGTATAGTTTCAATAGTATTAAGACTTATTTTCAATTTGATGCCCAAAAGTTTACTATATTTCACTTTCATGCGGTCATACCCTCAAAGTACTTTCGAACATTTTTATATCTAAAATTTTCAAATTTTCACCCACCTAGGTTTTGTTAGACTTTTCAGCTAAGTTTGTATTACATTTTGGTCATCTAAATTGTTAAATATTTTCAAAAGTAGTGAATAGGAGTTTAACATGGCAAGAACATGATATAAATTTATAGAAAATCTAAAGAAATGTTGATGGGAGATTGAAACTTTAAGATAGGTATCAAAGTGCCAAAAAATATAGGTAAGTTTAGTAGACTAAAGTAAATTTCATACGAGAAGAGTATTGGAGTGAAATAAGCCTTATATTAAGTATGTTTTCCTTGGGGCTCCCTTGAGGTGTTTTCCACTCTCTGCTACAGTCGTATTCCCGCACCGTCTATTCCTCTTCACAACTCTCATGTAACAGCCACGTGTACAAACCGTGATGTTCAAAAAGTTAGGTGAATTAAAGAACTTTTTCATATATACCCTTTACTTCTTTCACATTTGTAAAATTGACCTAAAATCTTGATATTTGTAAAATTACTCTTAATTCTGTCACATTAAATTTTCTACATCTCTACTTGACAATGTTGGTTTCAAACATTACAATATTAAAATTTTAAAAATTTCAAATAAGATTGTGACATTTTCCCATTTAAAATTAAAATTGTTATTAAGTGGGAGGGGTGAAAAAGTCCAATGTGATAGGATTAGAGAATAACTTTGCCAATATGGAAGACGTAAGGGTTATATGTGAAATCCCCGTTAAAAAATTGAGAAACAAAAGAAAAAAGAGGTCTGGGAAAAGGGTGGGGAGAGAGAGTAATAGCAAACTACGAGCTAATGTATCAATCCGAGGTAATCATTCCTATTTTCCCTCCTTTTTATATCATCTTTTCCCACAAATTTGGGATTCAACTTCTTTGGATCCATGAAACTGGTGTTGAATCTGAAAAATAAGAGGAGAATTCTGTTTAAAATCCATTTTTTTTGGTTTGATCATGTACGGTTTTGATTTATATCTTCATTCTTGCCTCAATTGCAAGTGGGTATCGAAATAATAATAATAATAATAACTAATGAGGCCTTTTCACGAGAATTTTTGGCTTTTCGTCTCCCATTTTGGGTTGACTGTTGATTAATTCTTTTATTTTGGACAAAACCCTGTTCACTGTATCCTAAACCCTAGAAATTGCGTGAATTGACCAGTAATTAATAGTGAAATTCTATATTGACTGGTCTAGTGATTGTTGTAACTATTAGATTTTGCCTTTTGAATTAGCTAGTAACTTGATCTCGGCGGTGTGGGCAAAAGAAAGGTTTAGTGATAGAAATCTTCAGCCATGGCGTGCCGGGGGTGCCTTGAGTGGCTTCTGAAGCTTCTCAATTTTCTCTTGACGGTCTCTGGATTGGCCATGGTGGGGTATGGAATTTATTTGTTGGTGGAATGGAATAAGATTTCTGGTGGTGGTGATGATCCGATCTCGCCGATCAGCAGTAATTCGGAAATTATGCAACTTAGTCGGCCAATGCTTCTGGCTGTATCACTGTCCGAGAGTATTCTTGATAAGCTCCCAAAAGCTTGGTATGCTTCTTTGTTTCGATTAATTTTCGTACATATGTTCAATTGGTGTATAATTTGTTCTGTGAGGCAATGTGCTTTTAACCGTTAAAAAAAAATGAAAAAAGAATGAAGCAAATGAAATATCGGTTTTGCAAGGGTTTCTAAATCAGTTCTTTTTTTTTTTGGTCGGTGGCGAATTAAATCAGTTCCTACATGTTCTAAATGTTGCAGTTATTGATCAGCCAACTCTATAATTTATATCTTTATCATGTCATGTGTCTCGTTAAATGTCAAGCTGGTTAGTTTTAGAGTGCATCCAATCTCCTTCGTTATCATGTCATGTGTCTCGTTAAATTTTCATGCTGGTTAAATTTCAAGCTGGTTTAGTTTCTATCATCTCCTTCGTGGTTCCTTCTATTTTCCACCTTCACAACTCTTTCAAGTCCAACCTTCTAAACCCTTTACTTTTCTTTCTGTTTAACAACTTAAGTATCTCTCTCTTAGTAAATGCTTCGTATTTCTGGAAATTTTGACTATTCGTTGGATTATCAGCATAGACTGCCAGTTTCTATTGTTGGTCTGGCTTGTATGTACAGCTTCCTGCATTAAGTTCTCTATGTACTGACTTTAAGGAGATCAGGATATGTAATGCTGTGCACCCTATGAGTTCTTATCTATATCATAAAGCCGTTGTAGGATGTTAGAGAAAATTGGTTATTTGCATTGTCATTAGAAATTTGTATTTATTGCCATTAGGAATTGCTGAGTTATTAGTTGAATCAGTCCTAAGAATTGATTAGGCTATCTTCTGAAATCATTGCTGCTTATTGTCCAAAAAAAGAATCTTGTTCCAGGTTAAAAATCTGTGCAACCATGTTACTAGTTGACTTAAAAATGTGCCTTTTTAGCTATTTTCCTGCATTCAATTGGATTGGTACTCTTGCACTATGCTCTTGATACCAGTAGGAAATGGTTGCTACACACATCGACAGTTAGGATTTTCCAAATACAATTATCTAATTTTTATAGTGACTTGAATAAACTCTACGACAATCAGAAAAGGGAGGCCCATGACTGAGAACCATATTGCTGCATCCAAGAAACTGTTAAGCTCTGCAGAGGAGGTGACCCTGTAGCTTGTGTGACATTCCAACTTTTAAAGTAGTTTGCTGCGTGCTTACTATAGGAGTGAAGAAGGGCACTCTGGGAGGGAAAAAAAACTTTATGTTTATTGTGGCCCTAAAAGAGATTATTTCCACCATCTGATTATTCTCTCCGTTAGTTTACATGTAAAATTGTTGAAATATTGTATGACTCATGATTTCAAATACTTTTCCGGATCTTGTTTATTTTCTGTGTCTATGTGGTATATGCTGCCTAAAATATCACCTGTATTAGCTAGTTGCATTTTGTTCTTCTGTTTGCAAGTTCGCAGAGGTAGTTCATTTACCAACTGGTTGTTGTCTTGCAGGTTCATCTACTTGTTCATTGGTATTGGAGTTATTATGTTCGTAATATCTTTCTTTGGCTGTATTGGAGTGGTGACTAGAAATGGATGCTGCCTATCTTGTGTATCCTAAATATTAGTTGTTTATATTTCAGTATGTGTTTTGGTTACTGTGTTCTGCTTATCTCTAATTGTCGTGTTCATCTACACTATTTGGGTATCATAACTACCTTTTTGGTATCCACAACAAGCGACCTAATTCTTAGACTTTCTTCTTAGTATGTAAATCTTTGATAGTTATTTTAATTTTGGGGTTTTTGCATGTATGCTCCACAAATCTTGATATTGCAAAATTAATCCCCAAATCGCTCAGATTGGATAAGAATACCCTTCTCCTTAAAATTGGACAAAATGCCCTTTTCTTCTTCTTCCCCATTTTCATCTATCTTTCCTCTGACCTTAGATTTCCCACCATCCGCGCACCCGTCAAGCCAGGATCCCGGGGCTGCGACCCACCTCTGGCAACCTCCTCCTTATCACCGGCACCAGCAAATAACACAGATTTTAAAAATCGACTAATGCCCCCCCCCCTCCCCCCCCCCCCCCCCCCCCCACCGCGCCGCTGCGCAGTCATTCGAATCTCTAAGAAATTATGTGACAAAATGCTGAGGTAATTCATTCTATTTTTTTGGTTTTTATTCATTTTCTAGGTGGAAAAAGTGGTCTTGTGAACTTCCTGCCACTTGCATGTTAGTTTATTGATGCCTAGAGTTCTATCCCCATGTTTCCATGTTGTTGTACTTTAGGGTTGCTTTAACATGAAATTAGTCACTGGTCGTCTTAAATTTTAACTGTCCCAGGCACAATTATTGCATGCTTATGATTCATGGATTTTGTTAGTTGTCTATAATCAATGATTAGCTTTCTTAGCTTCCTATAATCAATGCCTTATTAGTTTTGACTTCTTGTTGATTCTATAGGATAAGTTAGAGAGTGATGTTTTTTTGGTTTTGGGGGGTGGGGGGGGGGGTGTGCTAAGGTGAGAGAGAGGAAATATGGATGAAAGCGGGGAAGAAAGAAGTAGAGGGTATTTTTGTCGAGATTTAATGAGGGGTATTCTTATCCAATCTGAGAGATTTGAAGGGAAGTTTTGCAAATATAAGATTTGCGTGGTAATTTTGCAATTATAAAAGATTTGAGGGTATGGATGCAAAAACCCCTTTAATTTTAAATGTATACTTAGGGAAATTCGTTTACAATAAAAATGCAAGCATGGTTTTGGGGAGAGGTCTTTTTTTCTTTATTGCAACAAGAAAAAAGCGTCTATTTCATCCGGTTATTTTTGGGTTTGAATCGAGGCCAACCCATTTCTTCTAGTGTTCTTTCTGGTTCTTGTCCCACCACTTTTGATATTATTTTGCAGACTTTTCCACTTTCATTTTTCTCAAATTTGATGCTAATTATAGTAGTCTTAACTGGCCTAGCTTAGTTTCTAGAAGAAACACTAAAACATGCAAAGATGGTTCATTGAGCCAAACTTTTGCATAAATTTTCTCAACTGTTGGATCCAGTGATTTTATATTT